TAGAGCAAAAATACAATAGACTGTAAGGTTAACACTAAAATTAGTACCAAAAAATAATAGTAAATTAGTCTCTAAAATTAGTTTACAGTAAAATTAGTCTCAAATACTCACAGAATTACAAACAATTTTTCTGAGTGAATATTATATCTGAAAGATATATCTCTCTTTCAATATGCAAATTAGGTGAGGTTTTTTTGTTCAGAAAGAATATGCAAAAATATATAAATACAAATAAGAAGTGAAAATTGCAACGTATTCACTGGTTATTTAATTTATCGAAAAGATATAAAAGTTAATTGTATCGAATAAATATTGGAAAATAATTACTGGCAGAAAGTAAGCAAAAGTTAGTAGTAGCATTGCTTGGTAGGAAATATAAGTAAGCATGAGATTTTTTGCTGGAAAAGTGTTTCATTGTTTAAAAGCATAGTTCGTTGATTGTTAGCTGCGAGCTTTGCCACTTTTGGGCAATACTCAAACTTTTTATATTTTACAAATCGTCTTTCATTTTGGTTATTTTCAGCAGTGGCTAAGTTTTGGATTGACTGCTCGCTCAAGGCAATCATCAAATAATTGTTCTACAAGCAGTACTTATTCGCTCACTTGGTCCTATTTATTTTTACAATTTTTATATAAAATGAATTAAATTATTTTTAAGGTATATGTCTGATTGCATTTTACTTGTTGTATAATAACTTCTTTAAAAACAAACATTTTAAAGGAACACTGTATAATTTGCATACCTTCTTATAGTTTACTTAAACTTCTACATAAAATCATAACTATAATTTGCATATTTTCTTACAGTTTACTTACTTATACTTATCAATAGTGAAACGTCTTAAATAAGTTAATTATGACTTATACATAAAGTCATAATTAACTTATTTAAGACGTTTCACTATTGAGCTACGCTATCAATACATTTTTGCTTCAGTAAGCTAAGCGCCAAATTTAATTAATTCCTTTCAAGCATTCAGTTTTGCATTTTTAACTAAAAAATAGAACAATTTCCGTCTTAGCAGATAAACTGAGCAAAAGTAACGCTCAAAGTTTAAATCTTTTCAGTTTATAAAAATTATTTCAAGTTCGGTTTACTTAGTTTCCTAATTAAGCTTGCATTTCAAACGCATAAATTTATTTCAGAATACATAATGTGTGCACTGAAAATATAAAAAGTATATAATATAATGCATTTAAAAAATTGCATTAAAAAATTTAGATACATAATATATAATTGTAATTGTCTTACCAATACAATTTACTTTGAATTAATTAGACTTGATCGAATTTGAGGCATACAATCATTTTAGCACATTAAAAGCATTTTATTTTATTTTTAATTATGTTTAAAGTATGCAAAGCTTATAATAAATCTCAGATGAAATCAATTTAAAATCAAAATGCATTGCTAAACTTTGTAATATAACAGATATATTTTGATTTCCTCAAAGTAAGTACTATTTTCATATGTATATATTTTTAAAATTTGTATGCAAAAATAAATTATTTTTCAAATATGCATTAAATGAGATTAAACTTTACATATACAAATATGTGTTTTCGAAATTATACTTTGTTTTATTTCATTTTATTAAAATTTATTTCAGAGCAAATTTAAAAGTAAGGAATGATTGTAATTGCATTTATTATTGAGTTTGTCATTCTCACGCAAGATAAATCATATTTTACGGATTAATTTAAAAAGTTGAAATGTAAATAAGTACTGAAAGTTCAGAGTGACGTTAAATTTATGTGTAAATGCTGATAATATTGCTCGTCAAGAACTGAAATCAGAATTTATTTATGTAAGAGTAAAATTTTAAAGTAGGAAATGATTGTATTTGCATTTCTCATTGAATTTAGATTCATTTTAAGATGGAATTTAATATTTAATTAAATTTGCAATATTTAATTACCAGCTGTTATGGTCTTCAAATTTCATACGTGTAAATTTACTTCAATTTCATATAATATAATTATTTATGTATTTATTAACATTGCATCCAACATTTTGATATAACTAACAATTATTAAATTTAATGAAAATTATATAACTTGTCTGTATCTTTTATCTAATTGTATGAGTACCACTTATTAAATAAAATGAAAATGTTTTTATATTTTGAATGCTTTGTGAATATTTTGGGGGCTTTCTAATCTAAGAAAAAGTTTCAAGTTCTCTGAAACCAAACAGATTTAAGCTAATTATTATTTTTTAAACGTTAAACTATATTTTTAATTCTAAATTATTGTTAGATGTTCTCGGAATAAAAATCGAAAATACTCTTGCAAATTATTACTTTACTATGCAAAGACTATTTTCAATTTTAGATATAATATTGACCAGCCTTCTGAAGCATTACTACTTATATCCTCCGAATATATAGGCATAATTAATTTTATTGTCGAAATGCGTTAACCTTTTTAAATAGCTAATTAGTTTTGAGTAATAAAATAAATACTTTGACTTCAAAAATCAACTTTAATAAAGGTCAATTGCAAATTGCATTTTCTGAATCTGCCATTGCTGCATAAATTTGTATTTATTCACCACTTTTTTAAGTTAATAATATTAATAA